TCCTCACCTGAGGACAATTTTTCATTGATTTTTAGAGAGAGGGGGAAGAGACAGAGAAGCACTGATATGAGAGAGCCACATCAATTGGTTGCCTCCCGCACACACCCCGACAGAGTCGGGGATCAGCCAGCGACCGAAGTATGTGCCCTTGACCAGAATCCATGCAATCCTTCAATCTGTGAGTTGATGCTCTATCCAATAAGCCAAACCAGCTAGGCAACTTTAATTTTTATCCCCACTTTATTAAAAAGGAAATAGACAAGGAGCTAATTAATTCCCCCCTCCTCATAGTTCACTTGATGCATAGACAGGAAGTAGTGGGAGTCCTTGTTTCACATACCTTGGAATGCTTTCAATAATACTTCACAGACCTGCCTACCTCTATGTTGCTACCCCTTGCTCCATCATTATATTTTCCCATAATAGGTAGTCTACATAATTTGCTTACTAGCAGTAGCAAACAAACAAAAAGAATAGAATTCCATTCGTACCTAATAAAAGCATAAATATTTTTTGTTTTCCTTCTTTCTGTTTTAAACAAACTGTTCGGTGTTGGTGGTGTGGGGGCGTGGCTGTCCTGCAAACTGCCACAGCCCCTTGCCCAGCCAGCACCATCCCCAGTGGGGACCCCCACCCCAATGGGGGTGTGTCTGGCCTGCAAGCCACCACAGGCCCCTTACCCAGGCTGCCCAGCCCCCCAAGGGAACCCCCACCCTGATCCAGGACACACTTCAGGGCAAACAGTCTGTACAGCCTCTATCTATACTAATAAAAAGGTAATATGCTAATTAGACTGGCAGACCTTCCAGACATTCTTCTGGACAAAGTCATGGAGGCAGGACTGAGGTAGAGGTGGTTAGGGGCCAAGAGGGGAGGGCAGTTGTGGGTGATCAGGCCAGTTGGGGATGAGCAGGCTGGTGGGGGAGGGAGGGCAATTGGTAGTGAGCAGGCCAGCAGACAGAGTGGTTAGGGGCAATCAGGCAGGCAGGCAGGTGAGTGGTTAGGAGTCAGCAGTCCCGGATTGCGAGAGGGATGTCCCAGATTGAAGAGGGTGCAGTTTGCAGGCCAGCCATGCCCCCATGGGGTGAGGGTCCCTGCTGGGGGGCGTGGCCAGGCTGGGTAAGGGGTTGAGGCTTGTTTTTAGGCTGGCCACACCCCCTTCAGAGTGGGGGGTCTCTGCTGGGGTGGCTGGCCAGCCTGGGGGAAGGGCTGATGGCTGTTTGCAGGCTGACTACACCCCCCATGAGGTGTGGCCAGCCTGGGTAAGGGGCTGAGGGCCTTTTGCAGGACCCTCCCTCAGTGGCCGGCCCAGGCGATGGCGACCCAAACCTTCCACGTGCCTGCCTAGGGGCTGGCTCAGTGTCCTTCACTCGCAGGTCCCTCCTTTGGTGGCCGGCCCAGGTGGGCAGGGAGCTTGTGCTTCCTCCATTGCCAGGGGCAACCCAAGCCTCCTGTTCACTCAGGCTGGCTCTGTGGCCAATGACATCTTAGTGCCACTAATTTGCATATTCACTCCTGATTGGCTGGTGGGCATCGTGAAGGTATGGTCAATTTGCATCTTTCTCTTTTATTAATGTAGATAGCCAAGAAGTGGAAACAACTTAAACCTCCATCAATAAATGAATGGACACACATACACACACAATAGAATGTTAATCAGGCTTTAAAAAGGAAGAAAATCCCGTCCTATGCTGTGATGTGGATGAACTTGGAGTAAGGACAAGCTAGAGCTTCAGAAATCCTCGTATTTAGAATCCAAGAAAAGCCTGTCACAGAAGGACCAATGACTCCACATATAGGAGGTGTCTAAAGCAGCCACATTCACAGACACAGAAAGTGGAATGGTGGTTACCATGACTGGGGGAGGGATGAATGAAAGTTGCTGTGCAATGATACAGAGGTTCAGTGATGAAAGAGGAGAAGGCTCTAGAGATGTGCTGCACATAATGTGAATATAATTAACACTGTACTGTATACTTAAAAAATTGTTAAGAAGGTAGATTTCATGATTTGTGTTTCTATGACATAAACATATTAAAGTAAATCATCCAGAAAATAGTTACTGAGAATACAGCATTTTAAAGTGTTTAAAGGCTCATGACTTGAAATTTAATGTTAAGTTAAAGGATAGCCCTTTTAAGGTCAAAGGGCCAGAAAATTTGATAATCCTCCCCAAGAAAAGAATAGATATACTCCCAATATCCAACCATAAAGTCCAATTTAAGTGGTCCATGTTTTTTAAAATACTAATATGCTGTGTGACTATGATTCCTATGGATTAAAAATGTGCCAAATGAAATAGTCTTAAGTATGACTAAATGATGATAATATAAATAATTACATACCTTTCTCTGATATAAAAAATTAAGATCCTAACATCCCTAGTCATCCTCAATAAAAGAGTAAGCAGTAAGTACATAATCAATGCACTACAGCGAGAGATCACACAGGGAGTGACTGATTCTGGGATGAGGAAGGTATAGTTTCCTGGTGGTGACTTTTAGTGGTGGGATGAAGGATGAGTAGGGTTTCCTCAGAAGAAGCAAAGAGGGAGGGAGAAGAGAATGTTTCTGGAACATGAACAGTCTGCTAGAAGGAGCTGGAAAAAATAAGAAACAAGTGGAGGAAGATGATGAAGGGTCCTTAGGGCTGGAGACACTGCTGCAGTTCCTCAAGGGAACTGACTTGCAATGGTGAGTCTAAGGGCTGCTTCCTCCTTATAATGTGCTGCAAGCCAGAGCTTCAGAAATCCTCATATTTAGAATCCAGCTGACTATTAAGAGGCTCCTTCAGAATAGAGACCCACGGCTTTTTACTGCTTTCATTTATTTCCCATTCCTGTGATGTGGTTAAGAGACTCCCACTCCTCATGTTTGCAGGTTACTCTTTGTTCCTAAGAGTAAGCCTCCTGGAGTAAATAATATTTTTCACTGAATGTTAAAATATTAACTGTGTACCTTTGCTTAATGGAATATCTTACGGAACAAAGCTAAAAATGCATGGAAAGCAGTTCTCAGCTAGTACATTTGGTATTTTTTTTCTTGTGAGAGGACTATAAGTGGGTAAAACAGTGCGAAGGTACTGGAAATTCCTGTGGTAGGCCATTGACAACTTCCTGAGAGAGAGAAAAAGAGCCAGGGAATTGTTTAAGACATGATAATATCTTGAAGAAGTAGGAATTGTCCACAAGGAATTGAGGGCCCTACGAAGTGAAGTGCTTGTCATCATTTGAAGTGTTCAAGCCTAGGCTGTCTGCCCCCAGTGGAGAGTGATGTTTAAGCATTAGTGAACCCAGACCAGTTCAGGCTCTGTCATCTATGTACTGTGTGATCATGAGCAGGTTACTCAACCTCTCAAACCGGCAATGCCCTCATCTGTGAAGCAGAGACAATAACATGATATACTTTACAATGTTGTTATAAAAATAAATGAGTTAACATATGTAGTTCAGTTAGCATTGTGCTTGGCACAAAGTAAACATCCAATAGAAGCCAATAATAAAATAACTATCATAATATCACTATAAGGAGAGTCAAGCTTAGGATGGAAAAGTATCCTAGGTAACCATTAAGGCTCCTTATACCGAGTCTAAGAGTTTATTCAGGGTGAAGCAAAAGTAGATTTACAGTTGTTTGTACCAAAAAAAATGCAATAATTAGTTACTAGTAATACAGGAATATACTTTGTGCTTCTGGTGCTCACAGCTGTAAACCTACTTCGCCCCACCCAATATTCTTCATTGTTATCTCATTAGAATTAAGGCTATTCTCTGCCTTAAAAGGCAACAATATGTGTGTATGTTCGCATGTGTGTGGGTGTGTTTACTGAAGTATTAGCAAGTAGTGCAATAAACTGCAGAACATGTATAAAAGAAGTTTACAACAGCCTGCATATAGTATACATGTACCAGATATTCGCTCTTAATTCTGAACAGATGAGGCCAGAATTCACAGGACCTTTTCTTCATGGAAACGTTGAAAGAAGATCTGGAAACAAGTTTTGCTTCGGCACAATCAGCAACAAATAAAAGTGGTAGACAATCAATTTACCTGCACAGCTTATCTTTTTTCCATTTAATGATTAGAAAATAGAGTGAAATCAAATATTTAAAATGTTTCCATTTTTAGGAGAATTCTATTTTGCAGGGAGAGTGCTAGTTGACTGAGTCATATTCTTACCTGGTAGCTACCATTTCTTAGGGATTTTAATACTTTTTCTAGAAGCTGAGTGAACTATTTAAGACCATGTTAAGTGATGTGCCTAGTAGGTACTCAAATACAAGTAAATCATAAATATACATCCATCCCCTGAACAAAAGATTATAGAAATATCTGTATATTTCTACCATGACTGACTGCCTTAAAATAAAATTCAGAAAAAATATCTTTGAAATATTAAATTGGTATTTATAATGGGTAGTTATAGTTATAAATTGCTCACATCATGTAATTAAATATTTCTTACTACACAAACTTACCGAAATGGCACTCACAAGTCAAAAGAATAATACTTCTTCATACGTGGAGGTTTTCCCTATTAATCTCTTGCCACTACTAATTAATTATCATTTATTTAGAGAGACACAGAAGGTCATATTGGAGAGTATTTTTTTTTTTTTTACCACTTTTATTCACAACAAGGTTCATTTCCTGATTTGGGTCTAAGTAAGACTAAAAGCTTGAGTGAAATTCCTGTCAAATACATCAATATCCTTGAGATCTCCACAGTTTGCCATTTTCAGGCTTTCTTGGCCTGAGCTGCCTACGCCAGGCCTATCAATTTACCCTGATTATATGAAGGCTGAAAACCAGCCCCAAAGCCTCTTGCATGAAGCCTTTGCCTAAAAATGAAGTTAATAATTATAGATTATACAGGGCCTCAACGTTTGCTGGATACAATTTGTTTTTTTATGACTGCTCGCATTCAAGAGATGATACTGTGGTCATGGAACGTTTTCTCTGCTATCATAACGAGTTCCTGTGCGGACTCCACACACTCACTTTTGGCACATGAGGATTGAACTCAACAGCTCTGTGAATGGCCTCGACTGCATTCATCTCTGCTGTGCTCAGCCCCCGTCGAGATGCAGCCTCGGGAGAGAATCTGAAAAGCAGAAAGACAAACACCATCCAGTTGGGACCACTGCTTGGGCATCAACCCAGAGTGGCATCTACATATCCAGGACCCATAAAACCACAGCAAGCCAATGGCATGACCTTTCCAAACCTCCACTACATGGAACCTCTGAGTGACACCTCAGACCAAGGCAACAAAAACCCCCACAGAAGTAGAAAGCTTGTTTGCATCTAATCGTGGCAGAAATTAAATTCAGTCAAGTCTCTCTGTCTAAACCGCTATCTAAATTTCCTCTGGGGCACCTTCTTAGGTCAGGGGAGAGGATGGGACTGATGAGGGCAGACAGTGTAGGAAAAGAGAAAACTAGGTTACAGGAGAGCACTCTTGGTTAAAAACAAAACTGGGGAGAATTTTCAAGGAGCTCCCAACCCAGCCTCAGTGCTGCCCGGGAGGGTAAGTCGTGCAGCCTCAGTGGCAGGAGAACCTGCCTGCGGCCGGGCTGGCAGGGGGGTGTGCATGCCCCAACTGCGGGCCAGACACCTGCCCAAATGGATGAAAAAAACCAGACCATGCAATCTCTTTCTCACCTCACACCCAGGGCTAACTCCAGAGCTGTGCTTGGCAGGCAGACACCACAGGGGAAGCTGTGACAACCCTGGCCCTGCCCTCCCAAGCTGGAGTCGCTGTGTAGGGAGAAAAGATGTTGCAGTAGGTACTGGCGATCTACAGGACAAAAAAGAATGAAAGACAATTACTTCGGTCTTGAAGTGCACACACACTTAACAGCAAACCTGTCTGACAAGGCAGAGGCTATTTTCTTTCCCTGTTATCTGCTTTTCAGTGGGACCAAGGGAGCACCGGGGAAGTGTGTTTCTGACCGAAAAACAGTGAAGCCATCTATTCTTTCTCACCTGCCAGTAGTCTTAGATGTTTATGGAAATTCGCTATGCCACAGTCACTTGCCTCAGTAAAATGGGCAAATATCCCATTGAGATGGCCACTCAAAGTAAACAGACCCTGGGCGGGAGTTGGTTTGGAGTAGCGAGACAAAGAATAGAGATGACCACCCCCTCTGCCATCCTACCACCCAGTATTGGCTGCTGAAGGAAGAGGAACAGGCAAAAACTGAATAAAGGGAAGGCATTTTGTGTTAAGTCCTAAGTAGGCCTTTTGGTTTATATTATCTGGCAAAAAACAAAACAAAACAAAAAAAGAGTCACTTCAGAGGCATGGAATTTTATATGAATCCCTCTTTAGGGATTCCTACACCCCTGCAATGCTTCAGGGGGTATGTTCCCTCCTGCTGGTAGTGAAAGAGAACGTCAGCAGACTTTGGGGAAACGCATGCTTATAAGCAGGGGCTCAGAGAACAAGAGAAGCTCTCGAAGCAACACCTCATCCAGTCAGTGGGGCATGTGGTACCACACAAGCTGTTACTCACTTACTTGTCAGAGACAGCTCTGGCTTTGAGCAAGGCAGCTGTGTAGCATATTGTTGCCGACTTTGGTAAGCTTATATCTGTTAAAAAAGAAAGAAAGAAAGAAAGAAGGTGGGAACTCTTATAAGTTTGAAAAAACAAGGAGCAATGATTTTTAATGCTAGTATTTTAAACATGTAAGCATAAATTAAGACTATTATAATGTCTATAGTACACATGTGCAACCAAGAATAATTTATATTTTTGTAAATAACTCATGTTTAAAATCTTTCAAACTGACTTTACCAATCATCTTCTACTTTAAAATATGTATTTTAATCTGTTGAGTTTACTCAAGCAGAGAATAGCTAAAAATATATCAATTTAATGTTACATCAATACCCTGGATATCATGAAAGGCAAATACAATCTCTTTGTTACTTATAAAAATTTATCAAGAGGCATATGAAATACCAATGTGAAGGAAAAATTATTACCTTTAATTAAAAAACAAACAAAAACATACCACAGCTTAAACTATATATCTTTTTAATTACATTTTAAGAAGTTCAAATTTAGTTTTTTTGTTAAAATGTAACATATATATTGTATATATAAAAACTATATAAGTCTTTATATATAATGATATACATATGAAATTGTTAGAAAACTATACAACTTTTGTTCATTCAATCCCTTTTCATATAAAGCCTAACTTGTTTCCCAGAACAACTTCCTCTCAGTTTGTGTAGAAAATTTCAGAAGAAGGGGTCGAAGTGAGTAATAGGTTCAGAGAATGAATTCGCAGGGAAGTAAAAGTACAGGGTACAACTAAGAGTAGATAAACTCAGAGAGTAGTCCTTTTTTGGGGAAAACATTTGTTTTTAAAATATGATTCTATTTCTTTATTTTTTTTTAAAAAGTGTTTTTTATTGATTTCAGAGAGAGGAAGGGAGAGAGAGAGAGATAGAAACATCAATGATGAGAGAGAATTATTGATCAACTGCTTCTTGCACACCCCCTACTGGAACCAAGGGCATGTACCCTGACCAGGAATTGAACTGTGATCTCCTGGTTCATAGGTCAACACTAAACAACTGAGCCACACTGACCAGGATGAATCTATTTCTTACTAAAATAGCATTTCTTTAATACTCAGCCAAATGTATAATATGACATTGAAATGTGTTCTAATTCAGACCAGGTAAAAATATATCATTTCTGTTGCTGCCAAATTCATTTTGGGCTAGAGGAATACAACACCTAGGATCCTTGTGTCTTCACAGATCTGTTTTCAACTTAAAATTGTATTACAGTAGAAATGGAAAGGGAAGTCCCATAATTAGCCAACAGACAGAAGAAGAAAATATTTTCATAAAAGAAAACTAATCCCTCATCCAAAAAAATGTATTATCATCAATTTCAGCATAAGGAATTTCTTTTCAAGAGAAATTTTAACAACATTGAGAAAATACAAATAATTATAGAAATATCAACACAGAATTGAAAGGGAGAGTCTTTGCAACCCTGATCTCAAATATTATACACAAACAAAATTTCACCACCATATGCATAGTATATAATGGTATGTTTATGATTAAGAAAAAATATGTCAGACACTCATAGATTTTTCATTGCTTTTCCAATATCTAAACATTTAACCACTTCCCAATGTGGGAAATCAATCTAGAAATCAAATATCTTGTTTGCTAGAGTCCACTCATTGTCACTGGAAGATAATTTTTTTAAACTGCAGATAATACACGTTTTACTTTCTTAAATATTCAGATCTTTTATTTAAAAAGTATCCAAGCCTTGTTTCTACCCTTCCTGGTGGAAACCCACAGTATGGGAGAACATATTTGGCAATGGTGAATCTGTTAAAGGGTTAATATCCAAAATACATAAGGAATTCATACAACTTAATATAAGGAAGATAAACAACCCAATTAAAAAATGGGCAAAGGACCAAAATAGACACTTCTCCAAAGTGGGCATACAGATGGCAAAGACACACATGAAAAAATGCTTTAAAGTCATTGATCATAAGAGAGATGCAAATTAAAATGACAATGAGGTATCATCTCACACCTGTCAGAATGGCTACCATCAACAAAACAAATGACAAGTGCTGGAGAGAATGGAGAGAAAAGTGATTCTGCCTTCCCACCTACTACACTGCTGGTGGGAATGCAGCCTGGTGCAGCCATTATGAAAAACAGTATGGAATTTCCTTAGAAAATTAAATATGGAGCTTCCATTTGACCCAGTGATCCCACTTCTAGGAATATATCCTAAGAAACCTGAAACAACAATCAGAAAAAAACATATGCATCCCTATGTTCAGAGCAGCACAATTTACAATAGCTAAGATTTGGAAACAGCCTAAGTGCCCATCAGCAGATGAATAGATTAAAAAAGGGTGGTACAGCCGGGACCGGTTTGGCTCAGTGGATAGAGCGTCGGCTTGGGGACTGAGGTGCCCTGGGTTCGATTCCGGTCGGGGGAATGTACCTTGGTTGCGGGCATATCCCCGGTGGGGGTGTGTGCAGGTGGCGGCTGATCGATGACTCTCTCTCATTGATGTTTATAGCTCTGTCTCTCTCCCTTCCTCTCTGTACAAAAATCAATAAAATATATTAAAAAAAAAAAAAGGGTGGTACAGCTAGACAACGGAATACTATGCTGCTGTAAAAAAGAAAACTCTTACCATTTGCAACAACGTGGATGAACCTGGAGAGCATTATGCTAAGCAAAATAAGCCAGTTGGAGAAAGATAAATATCACATGATGTCACTCATTTGTGGAATCTAATGAACAACATAATCTGATGAACAGAAATAAAGCCAAAGTCATAGAAGCATTGAACAGACCATCCAACCTCAGAGGGAAGGCAGGAGGAAGGAGGTAAGAGATCAAGTAAAGGACTTGCATGCATGCATATGAGCTTAAGCAATGGACACAGACAGTAGAGGGGTGAGGTCATGTGCTGACGGGGGGAGGGGGGAAAGGGAGGGAGTGGCTAGGGAGAGGTCAATGGTGGAAAGAGAGACTTACATAATACTTTGAATAATAAAGAATTTAAATAAAAATTAAAATAAATAAATAATCTAGTTTGAAAAATGGGCAGAGGCCCTAAATAGACACTCTCCAAAGAGTACATACAGGCCCAACAGATACGTAAAAAGATACTCAAGGTCAGAACCACCAGAGAAATGTAAATTAAAACCACAATGAGCAATCACTTCACACCTGGCAGAATGGCTACGATTAATAAATAAACAAATTTTTACTTATAATACATGTTGATTCTACAATTGCTGATGATGATGTGGAGAAAAGGGAACCCTCGTGCATGCTAGTGGGAATGCAGATTGCTGCAGCCACTGTGGAAAGCAGTATGGAGGTTCCTCAAAAAATTAAAAATGGAACTGGCTCACGACCTAGTGATCCACTTCTGGGGATTTATTCAAAGAAACTCAAAACACTAATTTGGAAGAATATATTCACCCCATGTTCACTGCAGTGTTATTTACAATTATTTTTCATTTTTGAAGCAGTGATGTGATTCATTTACCCATTTTTAAATACAAGAATCTGCTTCATTATCTGCCTGGCATTCTTGATCTTTTCTATATGAGCCAGCCCATGGAAGGGCACTGGACTAGGCTGAGAGTCTATTACTAGAGACGGGCAGCATTTCGATCCTTCTTTCTCCAACGCAACCTAATTTTGTAGTGGATATGTCTCAAGCTGCTTGTGCCTATGGCACTAAACATCTGAAAAGCACTGTTTTATTGGTCTGAAGAGTGTGATGCTGACAGCCTGAATACAGATTTTACTCACTGGTACTCCTGGCATCTTAAATCCCTCTTACTCTGCCTATTACTAACACACACACACACACACACACACACACACACACGGAAAAGAGCCAAGCAAAGCACAGGGTATCCAGTGACCATATCAAAGGAACTGTGATGATAGTTGAATAAGTTGTGCGATTTATAAGGCCTTGGGCAATGAGCAAGGTTTACAGAATTTTTACTTTTAACTACATGCTGATTCTATAAAACAATATCAGCAAAAAGCTTGTTCTCCAAATAGTCTCCTTACAGAGTGACTAGAGGCCTTGTGCATGAAATTCGTGCATAGGGGCAGGGGAGCCCCTCAGCCCAGACCGCACTCTCTCCAATCCAGGACCTCTTGGGAAACATCCCTCTTGCAATCCAGGATCGCTGGCTCCTAAAGGCTCACCTGCCTGCTGGCCTGATTGCTCCTAACTGCTCTCCCTGCTGGCTTGATCACCCCCAACAGGTCTCCCCCGCCAGCCTGCTTGCCCCTAATCGCTCTCCCTTGCCAGCCTGATCACCCCTAACTGCCTCTGCCTTGGCCCCAGCACTGTGACTTTGTCCAGAAGGACATCCAGTAGATGTCTGGTCTATCTGGTCTAACTAGCATATAACCCTGTTATTAGTATAGATTCCCTAATGTGTTCTTTAGAACTTCTGTTTTCAATCTATGAGATGAAAGTATTTCTCCCAATATTATCAATATGTCCTGTTCTTAAAAGTATACCCTTTTCACATTGCCAGATGCCAAATAAGAAAGCTAATTTAGGAGAGAAACTAAAAATGATGGCCTAGGTAAGCACCTAAACTGCTGCCTTGCACAACAATTTCAAAACAACAACTAAAAGACAGAATGAACATCATCCAAAACCACAGGAAAGCTGGCTGAGTGGAAATTCTACAACTAGAAGGAAAGAGAAAAGCTCACAGATCAGAGGAGCCGAGCCACAAAGCACTGAGGTACGGAGACGCCCACGCACAGAGGAAGGCGGCCGAGTGCCTAGCTGGCAGGAGGGGAAAGGAAGCCCCCAATTGCACTGAACCCCAGTTCCAACTGCACTAAACCCCAGCTCCGGCCAAAACCCATGTACCGAGGCTCATAAGGGTGGAGTCTAGACTGTGGAAAAAGGCACACGGAGACTCGGAGACTCGGGGGAGCAAGGGCGGGCAGGGATCTGGAGGTGCGCACACTTGCGAGTGTGCACAGAGAGATCTGACTGTGGAGGTTGCCACAGGCTTTCCATAGTGGA